AAAAGCAAATTTGAATCATTAGCTAAAGCAACAAAGAAAATCAACACTGAGCCACCTCGCAAATTACGGCCATCCATTTTGATACAAAGAATTATGCGTATATTGACGTCAAGAAGAAGATATACAAATCGAAGTAATTTGCGAAAAGCTTTTCAGCTATCCAATAGCATATTGCGATTCAAGAACAAACAATCTCCGACATAGCTCAAAAAGAAGCTGAGTGGGATTATCTCCGGACAGGAAAAATTCCGAAGCGAATATTTGACGTTAATTTACATAATTTCCATCGATCCAGCCATTTCGTGATTTTGAAGTAAATGAAATGAACGCTTAGATCGCATATTAGATTATGCATATAACGTATGCTGAGGGACATGTGTCGCCTCTCCGCCAATGTTACCGGTGCTATGGTTTTAATCATATAGCCAACAATTGTCAACTGAAACCAGAACAACAAATCTGTCATCATTGTGCTCTGACACACAAATATGAACTATGTCCCAATAAAACTCTTCTCCCAAGGTGTGTCAACTGTCGTAAAACTGGTGTTAAAGACGCCACCAACCATAACAGTACTAATAAATCATGCCCAGTTTACATCAGAATGTTACAACGTGTGGCAGATAAAGTTGAATATTATAACAATGAATAACCAACGCCAATCACGATCCCAACTTGATACGACGATAATTGCCCAATTAAACTGTAATAAATCACCAAGTGCGCTGAATCAATTTCTAAGTTTTTGTGATAAAAATAAAGTCGACATAGCAATGATCACCGAACCACCAATTAGAAAAGGCATTCCAAATATTAAACGTAAATACAATCCATTATATGCAACAAATAGTTATGTGAATCATCATCTAAATAATTATCAACCAAATCATCATCTAAATGTGTCCAATTTGCAACCGTCATCATCCTCTTCACAATCTAGTCAACAAATGCCACCTTCACAACAAACGAATAGCGCCGGCCTTGGGCCAAGTGATAATTCAAATTCTTCCAACCAGCCAATGACAAACAATCAACAAGCCTCGATCAACAATGCCAACATTAGTAATCAACAAATACCAATTTTGCAGCAACCACCATCCAATCAACAATCCATAAATAGTGCGTCATAATCATCAACAGTTCAACAGCCAGTGCGTAGTTGCATCATCATTTTAAATCCATTATTATCACCAATAATTATATCATCTGTGTCAAACACTGATTTTATCACAATTGAAATTAACAGTTTTTGTCTTCGCTTCCGTGTATTCACAGCCGTTAGGATCAATGGACGTTACCATTGATTGCTTGTATAACTTAATGAATTATTCCTCCGACAAATATTCAACCAGTTTTATTATTATCAAGTTTTACTTTCTTCGATTCATTTTACCAATTTCTTACTTCATCATTTATTTATTCCATCAATTATTGATTTCATCAGTATTTATCCCATCAATTGCTTATTTCAACAGTATTTATTCCATCAATTATTTATTTCATCAGTTCTTGATTCATCAATTATTTATTCCATCAATTATATATTCCTTCAACTATTTATTTCAACAAATTATGGCAATTGATTTTCAAATAATAATAATTGGCAATTCATAAAAGTATCATTGGCTAATTCAATAACTGGAAGTCTTACAATTTGATAAATGCTATAATTTGATAAAGCTATAATTTGAAAATCCTACAATGTGATATTACTATAATTTAAAAATCCTAAAATTTATGATCTCATCATCCAAAATTGGTATCGATATCGCAGATAATTTTATCACAGTCAACAGATATAGAATCGATCTGGTTTGAAGACCTGAAATAAAAAAGAAATAATTAGATAAAATCAGAATAATAAATAACGTATCTTGAATTGTCAATGATTAAACATGATCCTCCTTCCCATCGTTGTCATCCATCAACATCAAATCCAAGTGATAATAATTCTAGAAGAAAACAAATATTAAATTATTAAACGAACTATTGACAGCATATTTATTTTCATTAGTTAACATATGCATATACCTGCTTTATCCACGATGCAATCGCACGAATTATATCATACTCTGCGTTAATGCTTTACCTCTGCTCGTTTGTTTGTATTTGATCAAGCTATACTTGATTTTAATGTTTTCATTCTATGACACTCGTTGATTAATGTGAAATGAAATGAAAATTATTGCTGCAACATATTGTATTTCTACAATGGTTATCTAATGAATATTGATAATGATACGATTGATAAAACCACAATTTGATAATTCTATAATTTGAAGATCCTACAATTTGATACTACTATAATTTAAAAATCCTAAAATTCAACATTTCGTCAATCAAAACTAGTGTCGATATCACAGATAATTGATCACAGTCAAGAAAAATAAAATCGATTTGGATGATCAACCAGGAAAAAAGGAAAATAATTGTCAACTTATGTATATGCTTGGTTCAAAAATCACGAATTACGTAATATATGAATTATTCCTTCGCTGGTTTGTTTATGTTGATCATATGTTTGATTTGATGCCTTCTTCATGCTACACCTGATGATCGACTTGAAATGAAATGAAATCGTTGCTTGCATCAAAAAGTATTTCAACAATGAATATTTGATGAAAATTGATTATGATACGATGGGTGCGCTCAACAAATTGATAAAATAAATGTAAGCTTACATTTCCGAATCGAAGACCAAGATCATGTACGTCTCTAAAAAAATTGCACGTCCAATATATCCACCGGTAAGAATGAATGGCGCAATTATTGATCCAGTGAAAGAAACAAAAATTCTTGGCATAATAATTGATCATAAGCTTGATTATCGGCCTCATATTAAATATGCCATTGCCAAAGCCACGAGAATCAACAGAGCTGTAACTGGTATCGCTCGTAAGTCGCATGGTCTTAGCCCTCAGGTGCTAAGAATGATATACCATAGCATCACAGAGCCAATTATGTCTTATGGTGCCTTGATTACCGGTAGGGCTGTCAAGTATCAACATATCCAAAAGATTCTCAGACAAATGGTCACACCAATGGCACAACAAGCTGTAAAAGCCTATAGATCGTCTTCATACATATCGGTTACAGCGTTGGCTGATTTTCCACCTATCGAATTATTCATTGGATTCAGAGCAGCAATAGCAACAGCCAGAACAACAGGTCAGTATAAATATAACGATTTACCAATTACAGTAGATATAAATGACGATCTCAACAACAATACAACGAGCAAAATTACCACCATCATCAAAGAACCATCAGCATCACCACCGTTTAGAATCATAATCAAATCCATCAAAACAACAATGGGCGTCGGTGCTGCATTTATGATTTTTAACAACGAGAACATTATCGGCGTCAAACATTATCGTCTTCCTCCCTATTGCATGATACAACAAGCTGATCTTTTTGCCATATTAAAAGCAACAAATTGGATAAATGAAAATAGCAACAATCGTACGGTATATATCATCACAAACAACATAAGCACGGTACAACATATCAATCGTATTGACAGGAAAAATCGACAAAGATTAGCGAACGAATTAATCGACAAATCCACTGATAATATTGTTGTCGTTTGGAACAAAGTGGACAAAACCGAATCATGGTACCACAGGCTCAAGAAATATGCAAAAGTAACAGCCAATAACCGCTCACGAGACTATGACTATAACAGGATGCCTATTAACTACATCAAAAAATATGAACGCAACAACATGATGATAAGCTGGAACGACAGATATTTAAGAGATCGATTCGGCACAAACATCAAAAAGCTATGTCCAAACTTGCATGATGCACGTAAGTTCGTTCCATATATTGATAAATTCGTCACCCAGACGTTAACTGGTCATGGACAATTTGGCGCATATTTGTCAAAATATGACCCATCGAATGATAAAAAATGCTGCTGTGGATTCCGATTTCAGTCAGTTCAACACCTTATCAACGATTGTCAAATGTTGAACCGTCTAAGACATGACTATCAAATTTCAATCAACAACAGTGATGATCCCAAGGAAAAAACCAGATTAACGGCTGTCTTCTACGGTAATATTGCCATGTTCGCTGATCAACAAAGAAGATCAGTTCATCGTTTACATCCACCGTAATCGTATGAATATCATTAACCGGTATCGCATCATGGTGGCTAGTTATGCACAGCTAAATTGATGACATTGCACGGCATCTGCTCACCGATCTCCGGGACCACGCCAAACCGTCACGAGCGTAGCTCGTGAGGTTTGGCTCGAAATCACTCCTACAGGACCCCCCGCCAAACCGTCACGAGCGTAGCTCGTGAGGTTTGGCTCAGAGTTCACTCCTCCGGGACAGCGCCAAACCGTCACGAGCATAGCTCGTGAGGTTTGGCTTGCGGTCATTACCTAACCTAACCTAGCCTCTGCTAGGAAAGGGATGGTATGGTATCTGCTTGCATACACACACACAAGAATTTTTATCCACACACACCAGATTTTAATTATGTTAAACACGCACACAAGATACAACACTTGTAACAGACCTCTACACACACACACAAAAACACTTTGCAGCAGTACCAAATTGACATTTCCGGGTGGCTCCCGTAAATCGCTATGTCAATTAACTAGCGGAGGACCAGGACGTGAAGCTCGACCACCACAACAGCGTGACCACACATACACAACAATCTTTACAAGAATCAACCCACAGTAATTTAATTTAATGTTCCAACACAAACAAAGGACACAACAATTGTTACCAGACCCTACACTCACACATAGAACACAACACAGGGCCACTTGTGGTCACGCGCACCAACAGTCCCAGGGTGGCTCCCGTAAACAGCCACTGTTGTGTGCAGTTGCCTCAAAGTCCAAATAGTTACGGTCAAAAGCCGGTACCAACAAGAATCAACAAAAAACAATCACCACATAGTATTGGCCGCATCAGTCTGCAAACATCATCAACAAATGAAGCATACACAACAAGAATCAACAACATTGAACAACAGTAACGCAACTGTCGTCTGTTCCAGTATAGCGATGCGGATCAACCAAATAATGTACCGGTAATCCAAACACAGCATCAACAGCGGCCTGCATCCCTGTTACAGTTTTCTTTTTTCGATCCACGATCCATAGTATAAGGAAATCATGAAGAGAATCAGTGGAAACAACCGGATCCGTAGTAGTGGCACGTCGCAACAAAAAAGTCAAAAAAAAAGTGGCATGTGAAGTATTATACTTCACATGCATTCCACCATTGAAGTCTGTTCCAGTAATTTGAAACGTCTATGGCTCATCCAATGGTATGTTTCCCGCCATACGAACGCAACAGACTTCATGGCTTAAATATGGTACAAATCAAGTCAGCATACAAATAAAATACAATGATCATCATAAAATTAATATATATCATATCTCTGCTGTCCATCCATCTGAATAAATCCATCATGGCCAATCATGTGTACCATCAACAGCAACAACATCAAAATCCCGTCGAACCAAATGAAATATTCGTGTATCTGCAATTGAATAACAAAAATCAACAATCATTATAATTATAACAAATAACAACAGATTATCACCAGTATTGAAACGATAAAATCAATGGGTTAAAAACGAAACGTCCATCATATAAAACAACAGTATTCAGCATAAAATTGACTAGAATCCTAAAGAAAAATAAAAAACAAGAATCAACAAGCATGCATATTATCAAAAATAAAAACAACTTTACCAATATCATAACAACGATAAAACCAACCAACGAAAATATAAAATCGAAAAATCAACAAAAATAAACAACAAAACCAACAGTATTAAATTAAATTTAAAATTACCGTAATATGCTAAAATCGACAATCGTAAAAACAAATATCAACATGCAAAACAACAAAATCAACAAGAATCAACAGATGATAATAAAATTAATAAAGTAACATGCATCTAAATAACAACAGACAACAATAAGCACAATCAATTATTTACAAGTAACAACAACATTCACTGGCAACAACATAATCAACAATCAACAGTCAACAAGAATAAAAATTCAACAAGAATCAACATCAAATAAAACTATGGACAAACAATAACAAGAATCAACAAATAACAACAAGAATCAACAACCAACAGTATTAAGAATCACCGGTATTGAAACAACACTAATTTAAAACAACAACATAAATCAACAAGTTGCGACAAATATTTACATTATGTACAGACGATAAAATAATTTAAAAATCCAACAAGTAACGACAACGAACCAACAGTATTAAAACAAAATTTTGGATGATAAAACCAACGAATTAAAATCACCACATCTAAATTAAATCAACAAGAATTAACAGAATCAACAATATATCACAGAAATATTTACCAGAATTATCACAGAACGAACGTTTTATCAAACCAAGAATCAACGTCAGCTGGACCAACCTGGGTGAAAAACAACATGATAAAAGCAATATAATTGATATAATTTTGAAATGATATCACCGGGTATAAATGAAGAATAAAACCAACGAATAAAAACGAGATCTCAACACGACGAGTCCATGGCCAATAGACCTGAAATAAATAAACAAAACAATAATAATTGACAAATAATTAGCAGAATTATCACAGTCGGTATATCACAGTTGGTTCATCATAACTGGCACATCATAGCGGAATTCTGGCCCATCCTGGAGAATTATCCATGATCAAATACAACAATCGTGTTTGGCTGGCAGAATCAGAATGGACCTCGATCGACCAAAAGCAGCACAAAACCAGCATGGCACTTGAGCAGCGATGACGTGCAAAAATTTTCTTTTTCTCTTTCAAGTAGCTGCAATAATAGTCATCCAGTCATCATCGATTATAATGAACAAATTTGACCAACCAATCATCATCATCAACATCACAACAAAAATTTGGCCAATTTATCATCATCAATGTCAAAACAATGTAAGTCATACAAACATGTCTCATTCACAACAACAAATATACACGCATGCACACGAACATGTAAATAATCGTTCATTTTTGCCGCCAAATCAATTCAACCAGGATAGTTCAGGAAACAAAACAAAAGACAAAAATCCTTTTTCTTTGATATGAAATTTGAACATTATGAGATTGTTATCCTCACTATTTCACATGCCACTATCGACACAAAAAATGTTAGGACACCACAACAAGATACAAATTTTTTTCATATAAATATTTTTGCAAAACCGGCAAAACTTTGCAAGTCGAACAACCTATTGGTATGATGAAAGATATTTTGTTCATTCTTGATTTGTTTTCTTTCCACACCAAATCATATCGTCTTTCACATTGTCGATCCTTGTATTTTTGTCGTTTTCTTTTCTCTTCATTTCACGACAATCTTTCACACACACCACACAAACATACAATCATTACATTGCCATCCACATATGTCAAACCTGCATGGCACAGGTACACACGCATAGGTACATACACCGGCACACACAGGGTTTTTCTTTTTCCTATTTTCTTTCTCCCCTCACATACAATGAAATGAACACATTCTAAATTAATTTAAATCAATTTTTATTTCAATTTTATTTTTGTTACTTTTTATTATTATTTTATATGTGTTTTTTTCCTTTTCTTCTTTCATTGAATCCATTATTTTATCGAATTGTAATTTGATCGAAGTTCTTGGTTTGGCCATTGCCGACCTATTTTTAAAGAAAGAAAAATAAAATTTATTTTTTTAAAAAAAAAAAATCACAGTAAAGTATCGAATCTGGCGAAATAGATTATTGAATCAACACCAACAAACATGGACATTACACAGGTAAGCAAAACGGGTGATCGAAGCGATAGAAAATTCTTAGTTAAATTAAAAAGATGCTAATGTCGACGGCCAGATTAAAACAAACATTTGACTATGAAAAAATTCCAATGGCCACAATCAAAAAGATGGAAATGAAAACTGCCCTGATAAACTGGAACCGATATTATCATCGTGATAAATTTGGCACAACGATTAAAAAATTATGCCCAAACGTTGGTGATGCAAGAAAATTTTGGCCATTTAACAATTTCTGGTTAACCCAAACACTGACAGGACATGGACAGTTTGGGGAATTTCTGAAGAGATTCGGATTCATCGATGATGCTAAATGCCCATGTGAAATCAAAATCAATCTGTTTTACACATGCTAAATGAATGTCCACTATCGGAACGTCTTCGACGCGATCATTTATTGACTCAACAATCTGCTATGAAGCCACTTGACCGAATTTAGAGCCACAGCTGTTCTATACGAACAAATTGCTATGCTGGTGGACATATACAGGAAAAATCTGCACAGTGGTAATAATCGCCAATCAATCACAACAACGGATAATGAACCATGGGATAAGATTATCATCAATTCAAATTTGCCACCAACCATGATGACTACACACATTGAATAATAATAACATATATACACATTATTAATTTATTTATTTATTTATTTTCCGATCAGTCAGCATGAACAAAATACACATTCACAGGACACAGCTGATTTTTACTTTTGTTTTATTTCTGCTGTTATAACAGCTGATTTTATTGATAACAAACACATATACATACATTCCATACACAGATATTGTTCACTGATGCGCCATGGCTATGGGATGGCATACCGTAAACGGCCGCCATTGGCTGCAGATCTTGCACTATACACTATAGGTACCAACTTATTTATTTATTATTTACTTACCTTCGATCAGTCACATGAACAATATACACATTTACACAGAACACAGCTGATTTTACGTTTTGTTTTATTACTGTTGTCAAAACAGCTGATTTTATTGATAACAACACAAACAATTCATACCATGCACATTAAACATATTGTTCATTGATGCACCATGGCTCTTTCTGGATGGCATACCAATGTAAAATGGCCGCCATTGGTTGCAGATTCACACTTTATGTTCCAAACAAAATAAACATATACACATGTATTCAATTTGTACCATACACAAATAAATTTTTTACACATAATAGTTGGCGAGAAGTAACCAAATAGGGCTGAAATAGACATTCTCTACCTATTTAAATCTGGCCCGGGTAATCGTATATCGTTAACCAGATAAATTTAAACCCATAAAATGATTAATTAGTAATTAGTAGCAATTCATAAATCTAAAAAAAAATTTTATAGTCAATAATGAAAAATCCATAGTCAACATTAATTTATTAATCCTAAATTGAAAAATCCTAAATCACAGATACTGAACAAATAAGTATCTATCACAGATGATTTATCTGAAAATTTTTAATTGCCCTATTAATTATAGTCGATTTGAAAATCCTAGTCAATTGAAAAATTATAAATATGTCAATAGAAACAAAATGTTATCACAGATAAGTTAAATTAATTTGAAAATCCTAGCTAATTGGTTACTGCTATAATAAAAACATAAAACACATTAAAACACAAACATAAAACACAAACATAAAACACAAAAACACTTACACACATTAAAAGTCATCATGGGCAACAAGTGGTATTCAACAGGTCAAATCCATGGATCGTATACCGAAGAATCGGAATCTGGAGTTGATAATTGCAGATTTAATTTATTGTCAATATAAACAAATGAAATAGTCGACTGTTGGTCGACGCTCAATCGATATAGCCGAAGATAGCTCATCCATTTGTATAGCAGCGAGTATTGATTGTCGAATCAACATTACCAACCATAGTCATCAATAATAGCAGCCATGAGCAACATAACGACCAATACCAGTTGATGGTAGCGGCATAAACCAATGTAACCAGTTGCTCATCGTTCATCATCATCATGCTCGACCATGTAATTGAGCACAACCACAAGCAACATCGAGAAATTTCGAGAACATGCAAACAAACCATATAAAAGCAACCATCAAAGCTAACAGAGACATTGTGTTTTACTGGACCTAATCTCAACTAGCGAATGATAATTGTGGTTGTGTTATGTTTCTGTGATTTTTCTTTATTATTTTCAACAAACTGTTTATGATCACGATTTTTGCCTGTGCCAGCATTGGTTACCAATGTTGTGACATTATTCCTGTGAAAATCCGTGTTTCGAATCTGGTGCTGATACATGTCATATCATCACCATCAACCATCATCATCTTGTGAATTTCCCTTGACCAACATCATCATTATCATCACCAATCATCGTCAATCCAACATTTCTTATCCGATATTGGTTATCATCACCGCAATCTGTGACAATATCGACCATTTGTGATATCAATGCATGTGTCGTTTTCGATCCAACCACCGCTTCTGTGACCATTATTATCCAGTGCCAACCTGTTGCCTACAGCGTTGTGACACTTACCACCAGAATTGTGCTATAGCCCCTTGTGGCCATCTTTCATCATCACCATCATCAACACCATCGACAACAACAACAACAAAATATCGCCAAAATTGATCCACCACCATTGTCAATCTTTCCAGCTGTAACCATCATCATATCACCACCATCACCGTCAAAATGCCGATTCATGATTGCATTGCCGTTAATGTACGAACGATTATTCTCCCCATACTTAAATATAATCAACCAAACTGCCGATCGAAAAAATGGAACCTGAATCAATACCGGAACAAGTGGAATTTTTACATGAAAATGCCTATTTTTTTTTTTTTTTTTCTTTTATTATTATTTTATTTTTGTTATTTTTTCTTCTCTTTTTTATATGATATGAATTGTTTAATGATTTTCATGAATTGTAATTGATAACATATTGGTTGGCCATTGCCAATCCTGGCGTATTGATAATAAAATTTCTTTTATAATTTAAATAACCTAAAAAACCAAAACCTAACCTAACCCTTTTATTGAATTGAAATAAATTATTTTTAAATTAAAAAAAACCTAAAAAAAAACCCCAACCCAACCTAAAGGTTTTCTAAAACTCGCTTCGCTCGTGAGGTTTTGCTCGGAAAGGCACTCCTTCCAGGATATCGCAAAACCGTCACGAGCTTCGCTCGTGAGGTTTTGCTCGATTGTCCTCCCGGGAATTTGGCCACCGATAATCATTGTGTAAATATCCGAGCAGTTCATTGCATTAATATCAAAAAAACAAATAAATATTCACAAAACAGTCGATTCCGGCAATAACTGATAGTTATACCGCAAAACTGATTATAGTGAGGTTTAAATAAACCTTAGATTTAAGAAAACAATTGGTAAGGTTTAAATGAACCTCAAATGTAGCAAAAAAAATGATACAGTAGCAAAAAAAAATTGATACAGTAGCAAAAAAAATTGATACAGTAGCAAATTGAAATTGATACAAAAATGATACTGTAGCAAAAAAAAATTGATACTGTATCAATTTAAAATGTATCAGCCTATTATTATACAAATGTAAAGTAACATATAAGTAAAAAACAGAACCAATAATGATAACGATGACATATCAAAACAAAATAAAAAAGGTACACTACAAATATCAGAAATGCAGAAAAAAACCAATCCAATCATCAACAGGTGAATATATACTTCAATAATAGAACAAATGAAAAACAACAACGAAGAACAGTGAACATAAAAGCTTGCCAAAATAATTTCAAATAAGTAAAGTTTCTTCACATAGAAATATGGCGCACGAGTTTTCAAAATTTATAAATAGTAAACAATCCATTATCATCCACAAGTCACAATTTAAAAAATCAAAGAAGATCATAATTCGATACAGATCGCGGCAAATGGCCAACCAACAAAACACAATACAAAACAATGGCATTAAGTTGATAAAAAAAATAATTTGGATTTGTTATAAATCAGATTCAATGTATGATTAAATCACAAACTCAAAAAGAATTTACACAATGGGTTCATAATAATAAGCAATCATCAAATACATTTTATTTTCAAAAAAATACAATACTAAATACACAATTTCATTCGAACTATCGAACAACATAGTTCTATGATACGTTTCATTCTACACCAAATATACAACAGGATTCACAAAAACAAACAAAAAAGTAAACAATTTGTGTGTGATGACTATTGTGACACAAGTGTACATAGTAAAATAGTGACAACATGATGATGATATAAACAATTTACTAATCATCTCACATTTAGATCTATTGCAACTCTCAATCACGTCTGAATCTAACTTGTAACTGAAACTGAAATATTTCTCAATTCAAAATCACGCAAATGAAAATGACACCTACCAAATGCAGTTAATAAGCATTTTATTTCGATCGAGTCTATTTCTATATATAAAAATCAAATAAATATGACACTAAAGGTTAAAAACATTCATCGGGTAAAAACATGAACTTTACAACAGAATCAAAATAAAAATGACCATTTACATTTAACATTCGCACATTACACACCATTTACCATCGTTCATCATCATTCACTCAACAACTGTTTTGTCTCCACCAAAGAATCACTCATTGAATCACAATTGGACATTATAAGTATTCACAAGTTGAAAATTAAAGCCATTTTTCATCTCAT